TCTTGACAAGTAACACAGTCTCTGGGACATATTTATAAAGTAGTGATTGGGACATTCACCAAATATTCACTGCAGGTGAACCTTCCTGGTGCATGCATTTTAAATTACAGAGAATGATTAACGTTGGAGGAATAACACATTAGCTGCTTTATAAATATGCCCCTCATTCTAATATTTATTCTTTAGCAAGTGGATATATGATTGCTCAGTTGACTCTTCTTTTGATATGAACATTACTTAAAAAAAGACTGAAGTTGCCCACTTTAAAGCACAAAAATTGAATGAGAAAGTAAGGTAAACACCATCTTTTTCCAATTAAAAATAGAGTGTATATAGGAAATGATTTGAATTTTACCCTCCAATTTCCACTATATATTTTATGGGATGTGCATTTCCAGTCTGTTTCTCATTTGCAGCATAATGTCTTATAACTTGATGAGGACTACTATCAGACTCTCATGCTAGCCTCCCTATCTGTTGCCCAAATTGAAAGATGCTTGTCTGGCACAAACCCTACTAACAGGTTGGGATATTGAATAAAACTAGATAAAATGACAGCAACAGATTACAATGTGATTTCAGCAGTACCTCAGGTAATCAAATCTCTGTGTAGGACATCATTACTAAATTATTATATACTACTTTTTTTTACTCGGGATAACTAATTTACAAGCAATAAACAGCAAACAAAAAGAAAAAATAGTTTATCCAAAATTGACTGCGCTAGGAAGGTGAATAAAATTAAATTAAAGTTTGAAAAAGTCCTTTGGACGAAATGCATCAAGGGATTTGACTGTCTCCTCGCTGACACGGTGAAAAATATCCAGCGGTTGAGTGCCCTTTACACTCGCACGCTGTTATCCTTACGGATTCCTGTAAGTGTAATCATTTTGAATTCAAATAAAGGTCTTTTTGCTATCTGCACTTAGATATCTCTCTTTTTTGTGGCTTCTACTTTTCTCCACTCTCTTGGTTGGACTCCCCAATTACACCTGGAGGGTGCGGACCATCGGCAACGAGAGGGAGAGCAAGCTGTATGCAAGCTGTATGCAGGAGAGGAAACAGAGGCTGAAAATAAGAGCACCGTGGATCCGTCGACGGAAGATAAAGTAACAGATACTTGGTTATTTTCAACGTACCATCATTAATTTTCGCAGTTTGATTCCAAGAACTTGATTCCTCCCATAAGCACACTCCGAACTGAGACATTGTATAAATAGGACAAACTGACCTCGGGAAATGTATGCCTAAAATACTCTATTAGGGTGGATAGATAGCGGTCTTTTCATTTGGCCGTTATATATATATTTTATGTTGGACTCTGCCGTTCATCTAATAATTTCTTCCTCTGTTATATAACCTTGTTATATTTATATCGTTTATAGTGATTCACATAATTATCACATATATTTACACGGGTGACATTCAGACTATATATGTGCTGTTTTCACTAATACCATCATGTAGTAGAGATCAAATAATTATAAGATGAGATAAGGTTTATTAATTGGTATTATTCACTTGCATGTTTATTTAATATATATTTAATTCTTTATTTCACTCTATGATATAAATCAATGTGTTTAAAGATTACATTATCACAATGAAATATTGAAACAAAATCGCACGTAAGAGATTTCAACCAAGCGCAACATACTAGTTCACAAAAAGATAAAATAGCGTTGCAGTAGTAGAAAACCAGGTACTAAAAAGTTGGACTTTACTAAAACATCAGTACACCACAAAAAAACTTAATACAGATACCTGGCTACTGTAGTTTTCTTTGTTCCTTGGTACTGAAGCATTTGTTGTGCTGCTACGATATTTACAGTTCAAATCTTCTTCTAGACCTAAAGTAAATGCGATACATAGATAAGTTTGCCAAATCTACTTTAAAAAAGAATTCAACACAAAGCAAAGGTTTTTGCATTAAATGACCACTTAAATTGTATAACTGCCATCTAAGGTCAGATTAGAATGTATTATAGTGCTTTAGGTTACGGCTTAGCTCAAAGATATTGACAGCTAGGTTTTTGCAGTGAGATATCCAGTGAAGAATGCCATGGAGGAACTGGGCCACTTAGTGTGCTATCGATTACATTTTTCTGGGGTTTGTCTTCAAATATTTTTTAGGAAGAAAAATTTAAAAAACATCCGTGAACATAATGGTTTTCTGTGCATACAAATAAAAACTAGGGATGCACCAATTCTGGTCTTTCTGTACCAAGTACCAATATATATTTTTTTGGTACTTGCCGATACCGAGTACCGATGCCGGTGCTGTGTGCCTCGATTATCAGGTAGTAGGTGATGGATCATGACCCGCTGCCTGGCTTCCTGATTGCCTGGGAAGCCGGTGCTCTATTGAAAAAACACTGGCTTCACTTGCCGAGGCTGCCTGGCTTCCTGACCAATCAGCAAATCGGGCGACTGGTCAGGAAGCCAGGCTGCCCAGCAACAAGTGAAGGCAGCTTCCTAGCCAATCAGGAAGCCGAGCAGCACATCATGATGCTCCTCCTGGCTTCCTGATTGGCTAGGAAGATGGCTTCACTTTTTGCTACGTAGCCTGGCTTCCTGACCAATCAGGAAGCCAGGAGGTGGGTCATGATGTGCCACACGGCTTCTTGATTGGCTAGGAACCCAACTTCACTTGTTGCTAGGCAGCCTGGCTTCCTGATCAATCAGGAAGCCAGGAGGCGGGTCATGACGTGCTGCCCGGCTTCCTAATTGGTTAGGAAGCCAGGCTGCCTAGCAACAAGTGAAGCTGGCTTCCTAGCCAATCAGGAAGTCGGGAGGCGGGTTCTGTGTTTAATGAGCACAACCAAAAACATGTGTGTTAACATAACACAAAATGTGCAAAACACGGTAAATATGTGTTTACTGTATTCTAGCAAAACTGACACATCCCACAAACACCCAACTGAACATATCTTTTTTGAAAGTTTTAGTCCTCCCATCCCTTGCATGATTAAGAAATTTGACAAGGTTTAAAACACAAAGGGGCAGATTTAAAACTGAGGTTGTGAACTGCCACACATCCAATCAGTATTCAAATCCTGCAGCCTTCACCTTCCTAACATACATCTCCATATTATGCCCCTTTCTAACCAATGAAACCACAAAGATACTAATCCACTCACTTGTTATCAATCAACTATTGCAACTCCCTTCTCCTCGGCCTACCTCTACACAGGCTATCCCCCTTCAGTCCATCATGAATGCTGCTGTGATACCCATCCACCTAACCAATCGCTCCGTGTCTGCAACCCCCCTCTGCCAATCCCTCCACTGGCTTCCAATTACCCAAAGGATAGAATTCAAAATATGAACAACCACTTAGAAAGCCATCCACAACTCTGCTCCTGGCTATATTTCCAACCTCATCTCAAACTGTCCCCTCTGCTTCTCCCAAGACCTCCTGCTCTCTAGATCCCTCATCAACTATTTCCATGCTCGTCTCCAGGACTTCTCTAGAGTCTCTTCCATCCGTTGGAACTCCCTACCCCAACCTGTCCAGCTATATCCTACTCTGCCTGCCTTTAGGCAATCCCCAAAGACTCATCTTTTCAGGGAAACTTACCCAGCCTCACCCTAACCACTGAACTATTACTCTGTCAAACAATTCATACCCACACAGCTTCCACCTCTTGTATTACTTGTCCCTCCCTTGTAGATTGTAAGCTCGTCCTTACCATCTTGTCTTGATTTGCATTGTAACTGCCATGTCTTCCTCATTTTGTAAAGCACTGCACAAATTGTTTGCGCTATATAAATCCTGTATAATAATAATAGTTATTTCCTATGATCTTGTTCTTTCCACATTTAAATGCACTTCACATCTGCAACTTTTAGCATATGTCTTCCAACATTTCAAATGTACCACACAAAGATGTTTCAACAACCAATGGCTGTCATACAGGGTTATTCACTAACTCAGTGAATAACTGAGCCGTAGTGAAGTGAGCCGAACAACGTTCAGCTATTCACTACGGCTCAGTGTGGCTGATTTTAGCTGTACATCGGTTGTCTTCGGCAGCACTTTGGTCAGCCGAACATGCTCTGCATGTTCAGTTGAGCCAAAGTGCAGAAGGACTTCGACTCAGCTGGACCAACATCTGGATCGGCTGAGCCGAAGCTCTGGCAACTCACTATTCACATAGGGGCCAAACGGCAGTGAGTGAATAGCGCCATTCGGCTTGGCTATTCTGCTCAGTACCTCTGTGGTACTGAGCAGAATAGCAAATAGTGAAAAAAGTGGGGGGATTTTTTTTATTGTTATTACATAATACATTTAAAAAAAATAAAAAGATTAAAAAAAATAATAAAACAAATAATTGGGAGGCGCTAGCAGTGACTATTGGCTCCGCCCTACTGTTTCCTATTTGCCGGGACCTGCTAGACTGTTCTAGCAGGTCTCGGCCAATGAATAACAACTGGGCGGAGCTGGCTGTGACGTCATGGCCGGCTCTGCCCAGTTGTCATTGTTTAATGACAGTTCAGCATCCCCGGGTCATTTGGGGACGCTGATCTGTCATTACAACTGGGCGGAGCCAGCCGTTAGATCCACCCAGCTGTAATTTGAGAGGCCCTGCTTCTGCTGTCACTTCGGCTCAGTCAAGCCGAAGCATATGCCTCTGGCTCGCCTGAGCCACGTGGCTGCCTTCGGAGCTGTACCCACTATAGTGACTAGCCCGTGCAGCAGAACAGCTTCGGCTAATCCTACGGCTGGCTTTCTGAATAACCCTCATAATGTCTGTATGTTAAAAAGGGTCCCATATAGTGCATGGACCTGAGGCTTTCAGACATCTGACCAAAGTGCATTTTTTGTTAAATTTCCTGCTAAAACCTCATTGCAAGCTTTTTATTCTTTGCATACCTTATTTTTCCGTTCCTCCCCATTCTTCTCACAGTGGCCATATTTACTAAGAGCAGATTAATATATCTCCCATTATTTCATGGAACTGTGGCATTGTAAATAATGTACTATTGCACATTAACTCAGGGGAGGAAAATGCCTTTCCTTGACATCTCGTTAGATTACAGATGATTAACCAGCAATGCACTGCTGATGTAACCTTCCCAGGAAGCAACTCTTGGGCCCATTACATCACTAATGCCCAAGAGGACCAGGAATTGGAAAAACAATAATTGGATGTAAAAGAAACTAATGAATGTAAGATAATGTCATATCAACATGCACAGCTGCATCCTGAGATGATTTTTAGTGAAAGGGGGTATAGGTCCACTTTAAGAATTGCATAAAATTATATTTTAAAACTGGGATGATGTGCAGTTGAAAAGAACAAATCTGAAATAAAAGCTGTCTGTTAAGCTCGACAGTAATCAGTCAGATCCAAACACTTTAAAGGGTATTTCTACTTTTGCAGCCTAATTGGGATAACACCTACTTTATATTTGTTACTATTTACATAGCGTACATTTAATGTTTAAAAACTGTAAATTGCTGCTTAACTTTTTACTTGCTGAAAAACCTTAATATAATATAGTAGGGGAAAGTTAACTAAGTATGAGGCTTGGGAGTTATTTTTATCATATGTAATCCTTTCTGTACTGGTCTTTTCTGGCAGATTTCATTATCTGTTGTAAACATGATGTGCAGGACTGCCTATGCTAACAAAGAGTAAAAGATCTCAAGGCTTGGGTGTTATTGCAAATAAAACCTCACTTTGTACCATGTTGCCATCCATTCTAAGCAAGCATAAGCTGCCAATAGGGTTCTATGTATAAATCTGCTTTGAAGAAACAGCTAGAAAGGTAAATAATTTTATGCATGCTGTGTGCATGGCAACAGATAACATAAATTTTAGACATGTGCGATTTGGTTTGTTCCGAATCGAAATTCGGACGAAATTTCGGAGATTCGGATGTATCCGAATTACAGATATAACAAATGCAAACGAATCCGAATTTCCGATTCCGAAATTCGTTAGCGGTTGTCTGGACGAAATTTCATTGCAGCAAAGTGACATTTGAGAAAAAAAAAACGAACAAACGAAAACGAAACAAAATTGAAACGAAATTTCGTACAGATTACAGCTAACGAATTTCGTCCGAATCTGACTTCCGAAACGAATTGACTTTCGGACCTGAATTCCAAAAAACGAAATAACGCAAAATACGGATCAAAATGAAACAAAACAAATTTTTTGCTGGTGCACATGTCTAATAAGTTTAGACATTTAGACTGCAAAGGTGGAATCACATAAAAAAAACTTTTTGTATAAGTTTTGAATCATGATTGGATGCTGTGGGGCAACGTTATCTGTTATAATTCTGAACACTTTATTAAACAAGGCTCAAATTTCTTAGGGTGACAGAATGCATTAACTAAAGGTACTTTGGACATGCTAGTGCATATTTTAAAGTAAAACAAAGTATTAATTGGTTAAATTATGTTAAAAAAATGCATTCACACAGCATCCTTTTAATCAGATAATCAGGAGAAATTTTGGAAGTTAAGAAATATAATTTACCCTTTGATCCCCCTTTAATAGAGCTGCTGCATGTTCAAATCAGATGAAACTATTTTTGGATTTTGTGTGATGTGAGTCAGCTATTTGCCTGGTACCTTTGCTTTAACAATTTCTTCCTTAGCATCTATTCATTCTCTCTTTTTCTATCCTAGCTATAAAACTAGGTAAAAACTTCAGAATTCCAATTCAGTGTAATATACGGTAATTAACCGCTCATTGAAGCTACAAAGAAATGACGACTGTGTGTGACGCTGCAGATAAAATCTATTAATGTTACCTGATCAGCAAGTTTATATCTTCCATTTCTCAATGACTCAGCCATATGAAATAAGCTGCAGCAGAGCCTCCTGAGCCAT